ACTTGCAAGTTCTTCAGAAATGAAAAGCATTCAAAGATTGTTCGTTATTTTGTGTCGTTCTAGTGAGAAACAAGTCGACCAATGAACTGCGTACTTTCGAGGTTTTTCTGCCCTGTTATCTTATCCTGCTAAAACAATTGATATCTTTCCATTTCTGTTTGTTGGTTTTCTTTTTTCCATAACCAGAGAGTAACTTTACTCAGGTGGTGGATTCTAATTCAAGGTTGGTACGCTTGACATTTCACACGTGCGGATCCTAGATATCTATTCGATTTATAAAATCAATTTATAAATATACTCTTTGATTTTACTATTCTCTTACTCTTACCCTGATTTCTTTTGTTACAGCTGCGTGCAGGCATTTCCTCAAGTTGACGTTTCCGTGAGAGCAGCTTACTGTATATTTTACAAGTATAATGGCCAATTATGCAAAAACATAATTACAAGTCAGTACGTTTATGGTGACCAATCCACGCTATATTTAAGTGAACTGAGAACTGGGAACTCGATCAGTTTTCTCAAATTGATTGAAATCACGCCGGAGTGCAAGCTCCCATTAAGAGACTTGTTCTGTCACTATCATTTCCCACAGTGCGATGAATCACTGGGGCGCCCTAAAAAACGTCGGATTTGTCGCAGCTCATGCGAATATTTGGACCAAGTCGTTTGTAAAAGAGAAATAGCTTTAATCAGAGATGCGCCGGCTATAGTAATTGACAAGGACATGATAAATTGCTCAAGCTCTAAGTTTGTTGATGCAAATGGTGGCGATGCTCCTGAGTGCTATCAATGGCACCATCTTCCTGGTAGGTGTAACACCGTCATTAAAAAATCCATTATTTCAAGAAGTTACCCTCATTATCTGGTCATGTCCTTTTAAGAGTTATTGAACTCTTCGGCTTAAACAGGATCATTGCGCTGCCGGAGTGCATGGAGCAGGATATATTGTTCTACTTGGTGCCCATCCCCTTCCAGGTGTATAACTTGATACCAGCGATTTGTTAAGGAAATTTAACGAAACGAAGAGAGAGAGGAGGGTAATAGATTACCGGCCATAGACAAGTATCCCATCCTTGTGTAGTAAAAATACTTAATGTTACGAAAAATAGGAACACTCTGGCAGTATTTGAGCGAGTTGGCTTGTGTGAATACAGAAAAAGACTTACCAAAATACACACACACAAACAGCCATATACACAATGAAACACCAGGAAATAACTGTAATGTTTTGGTTTATCATATCGATCAGACAATGTTATACTTTTAGTTCACTTTTCTAACTTCTGCTGCTCTCACTTTTCTCCATTTCCCGTAGGTGACGACACAGAGAGTACAGGTCTGTTATTAATGTTCTGAATTGTAATTTTTAAGATCTTTATTCGAATGCTGCCTAATGAGACCATGGTGCTTTGTACAAAAATATTGTGACTCAATAATATAAGTAGGCATGAATTTCAATTTATACACGAAGCGATAACAGAAAATTAACAGGAATTTTGTTCAAGCTTCTCCTCACCCTATTCAAAATCAGTCCATGGACTAATGCCACGTTTTTTTTCTCAGATTGTTACCACGGTGTGGGAGTTGGTTACCGAGGCGACGTAAACATAACTCAGTCTGGCCGTCCATGTCAGTCTTGGAAATCCCAGTGTCCTCATCGTCACTTGCGGATTCCTAAAGATGTTGCTGATTCAAAAAATGACTCAAACATGTGTCGTAACCCGGACAGCAGTGCTCCGGATGGACCCTGGTGTTACACCACTGACCCAAATGTTCGATGGGAATATTGCAACGTATCTCGATGTACGCCCAGAGGTAAATCCCATCATTAGGAGGACTTATTTAAGAGCTAAAGGGCATGAGTGATAGAAGACTGAATCTATGACGATTGAATGATCTTGCTGGTTGTGTAGCGATCAAACCCAAAGCGATACAACGACTTACTTGCTAAGGATGCGACACCAAGACGGGGATATATTTTACGGACAGAAACACTTGAATCAAATTAATTTATTCGACTGAAGACTGATTCGAGGTTATATCGTAAACTGAAACAAATACAAGCAAAAAAACTAAGCTAATCTTATGCATCCGCGACTAACATATAACATTACAATCATTCCATTACGATGAGATTCTAAATTTGGGTAAAACTGAACTTGAACAAATAAGGTAAATAAAGGATTCGATTCTAACATGGTACAGCAATATAAGGGAAACCAGAAGTGAATAGGACGAGACAATTTGTGCATTGTAAGTGTCTCGATGTATAATAGGGCCTGAACTGGTGTAATTAAATCACAAGATAGACAATACTCTAAGTCTAGAAGAGCCAATCGAGGCTATCTAGCACGCTAAGCTTCAAAACAACGTGAGAAATATACCAAAACTAGGGCAGGCAAGGCGAAACGTAAACTCGAGACACGTGGCAGACTTACAAACGAAGAGCGATATATAAAATCGTTTTGTTCGAGAAAACTAGAGAAATTGATGAGTAGGTTAAAGGTTTGGAGAAGGTTAAAAACTTACACAACAGTCCCGCTTGTTAGTTCTTGACCGAAGACAACTCCAAAATAGAGGCAAGTTATGCTACTAAAACTTGACTTGTAACTTGCCTAACCGAAAAGCAACTGACTAGCTGCGTTTTGTCGGGGCTATATGAAAGCACGTTTTTAACCGAGATCAATGAACTATTATAACTTCATATTTGCGGTTAACATAAACGAATCAAGATAAGCCTACGTACAATGTCCAAGAGGAGGCATGCTATCCGCTACAGGTTGAGACCCACCAAGATAAAGGACCTACGAGAATAATTGAATAATTGAAATGTTTTAACAACATATTTTATACCATTATTATTCAGATACTGATGCTTGNTTAAAAGGAAAAGGAATCGTCATTAATTATAACTGATATCAACCAATGTTACGACAAAGCGCGATTATAGTGTTTGATACTTGTACTCGATAGTATTAAGTAATCTGGCTCTGATCATCTTTGTTCTTAGTGTAAGGGTAATCTAAATGGTTCAAACGTGAAAACAAAAGTATTCAGAGAACAAGTTGTCTGCTGCTTGCAAGGGAAAGGTTGAGGCTTCATATTATTTGCTTACGAAAACAATTTGCTTTTTTTCCCAACTTACAGACAGATTCATCAGAGATTTGATGTTGGTTATTATCTTGCCCTTGTTCATAGCTGCTGCATTTATATTGGCTGTTTGCTTAAAGTTTCAGCCAATATGTAAATCAAAACAGAAGAAAGAAGAGGTATTGTTTGCATTGCTTAATTAAGTCATCTAGTGGCCTAATGCTTTAAGGGTAATTCGCGTTTGCATTGATCTTGAAGATTGAGCTCTCTAAGGAAGTTGGAGACTGGGCCGAAATTCCTAGGTCAGATGTTACTCTCCAAGACAAGCTGGGGGAAGGTGCGTTTGGGGAAGTTTACAAAGGCTTAGTGCGCGTGGGTGGAAAAGAGAGAGCATGCGCAGTAAAAAAACTTAAAGGTAAACATTTTTGATAAAGCTTTTGAATGGTTGACTGACGTACTTACTAAGTTAAGTGAATCATTTACTTACAAAGTTTATCGATTGATGATGATTTTTTGATCGAAAGAAATTGTATTAGATGCGCTTAAAGTGTTTGATAAAAATTTTTTAAATAGATTCGCTGTCCCTTGGATATCAGTAAAGCTTAGAATATTTCTTTATAGCAAATGCTGCCGAGACGGAGAGACGAGACCTATTGAACGAGCTTGCAGTCATGGTCACAGTTGGTGAACATCCTAATGTCTTAAGTCTCATTGGAGCTTGTACCAGGACTGGTAAATTCTATTTGATATCTACAGTGCAGTTTCCTTTCCAGTTTCGTCCTTCTATGTAGTAGTAAGATCTAAGTTATGTAACACAAACAGTTTAACTCTTGACCGCAATTTTTGCCTCACAACTTTAATATCTAGCCATTTTTGCAACTTCCAGAGTCAGTCTTGGTGATTATTCGTTTGGCCCCAAATGGCTGTTTGTTAGATCAACTGAAGAGGAACAGAGAAAATCCATATTACGATGTTTCGAAAAAACAAATAAACTTCACGCCCCAGGACAAAGTGGAGGTTGCAAGAGATGTAGCACGTGGAATGCTACACCTCGCCAGCAAAAAGGTAAGAGATACAGTAACAAATTCAGAGAAATATTTGCTTTCTAGAGAACTATTTAATTTTATTTCGCTGCTCTTTCTTAGTGTGTTCATCGTGACCTTGCAGCAAGAAACGTGCTTCTTGACGAGGAGAATGTTGCCATGGTTTCCGACTTTGGCCTGTCACGTGATGTGTACGAAAGTGGAGAATACGAAAGTACAACCGGGGTATGGCCAGTAGTATGTGGTTAAAAAAAGAGAGTCGAATAGTCTCAAGCTGCAACTACAAATTAAAATGATGGTTTTTCGTACGTATTATTTCTCCTCACTAATATTCAAACGAAAGTGTTTTTTTTCTGATACCTTGTTTTAAAACTTTTCTTCCAAAAGGGAATGTTACCAGTTCGTTGGATGGCTCTGGAGTCTTTGGAGGATTACACCTACAACACGAAGACAGACGTGTAAGTTAAATTTAAAGGAAAGTATGACGAACATATAGTCAAAACTGCCATTAGCTAATGGGGTCCTGATGATCAATTTGTTTTATGGTTCAATTGTTTTATGGTTCAATTGAAACTAACCAGAAAATGCATCTCTCGTCATGATAACGAAAAAATCTGCGAACAGGTCGGCTACTCTAAACATGTGTACTTTTATAATGTTAAAATATAGCTGAGATACTATATCAAATACATGGCTACCTTATTAGATCGAGATGTATAAATATTGGTGAAGCTATGGTGATGTTGCAATTTAGAATTAAATTCCGTGAGAAGTAAATGTTCGTTTTTACGGTAAAATGACCATATAGGGCTGTTTTGTTACAGATGGTCCTTTGGAGTTTTATTATGGGAGATTGAATCTGGAGGTAAATAGTTTAAGCCTTGAGAAATTTAAGCCATCATCATCATATTGGTCATCATCATTATCATTTTTGGTATCTGTGCTTTCTCAAACGTATCTTGGTTTTGCATTGTCCCACTTTTGACAGTGGCTCGAATTTAGTGCCAGAAACCAGTCGGTCAGTCAATAAACACATTAAGCAATTATTGGATAAGATTAACCATGATATCATTAATAATCAATGCCGAAGTCTGAGCGATCTGCCGAAGCCGAAGGCCGAGTCGGATAACACAGACACAAGGTTTGATAATTCATGATGGCATGGGAACACCAAATTCAATAATTATTTAATTATTCATTTCTAAATTTCATGCTAAAGAAAACCCTTCTCTCCGAGTTTGTAAAAATTTGAGAACACTGCACGGACTAGGGGCTTGAAAACTAGGCATCATGATGATAACTCAATATTTGCTGCAGATATTGGGTTATCATATCAACTGTTCACACTATTGTTTATTGATTGTGTGCTCTCGACCTAGTAGAGTTTTCATCCAAGTCTACTGTGTTATAGTTATCATTAGATGTGTTACTGAGAAAAGCTTCTGTTTAAACCAGTTACAAAAACTGAATTCTTTATCTTTTCTATCGAGGTAAAATGCCGTATTCTGGCCTTGGTGGAATGGAAATAATCGAATTTCTGAAAGCAGGACAAATATTAGCTAAGCCGGATGGATGCCCGGATGAAATGTAAATAATCACGAATAGAATAAGACACCGCTCTGTTACAATGGTTCAACGCTGAGGTATGACTAAACTTAATTGTTTTTCCTTACACAGCTACGATATCATGAAGTCATGCTGGAGTTTGGATCCTACAAAGCGTCCATCATTTTCTGAGCTGCTGGAATCTCTCGGGGAAGAAAGAAAGACCAAAGGCGTAAGAACTTTGTTGTCACCAAAACTAAGTTTATGATCGTCTCTAGCTCCTTACATAAAAATGGAATTTGCTCGGAAAAGAGCAAAAGGAAATAGAAGAGCTCTTTGTTGGCTCATATACTCAAAAACGTTTGTTTCGTTAATTTGTCTCGTTGGTACTGAAGATGTCTCAACTTTATTGCGGCTGGACGATGGTAACTATGTGAAGTAAGTTACTAAGATGGTCCACTGAGGTATTGTTATTTGTGAGTTTTGCTTATTTGCAACTAAATGAAAGAAAAGAACTTCGTTTGTGGGAGAAAACTCTAGCTAAATCACCATTAAAGTCAAGATTAAAAACATCACATCATGATACTCAATAAAAGATGATGGAAATACTGAAAAAAATTGACGCAACGGAAAGAGAAATTTTCAATAGAAATTTAGCATTCATAAACACCAGAGCTGAGTACCGTACGCGTTCATTAAGCAAAAGGAAAAAATGAGGAATATGCTCCTTACCTTTTAATTATCTAATGCATAAGCTTTTAACGCTTGTTTTATATTTTTTACTTATAGGATTTCGTGGAAGATAAGGACTGTCTTGAACCGGAGTTCAAGGGACGTACAAATTTCTCAATAGACCAGAGTAATGACTTAGATGGAGAAACTGCCATATAGCTTAAAGAGCTTTTGTATCATTGTTAGCCCATCCATCTCTCAACGTAGGAGGTAATAACAATGATCCCTAAAGAAAATTCCGACCTACGCGAGCTATCAAACTGGCGACCTATAACTTTGTTAAATGTAGACTATAAAATTGCATCAAAAGCCATTGCATTGAGAATAGAAAAATTTCTTTCCGTACGTAATTAACAGCAATCAGACGGGCTTCATGAAAGACAGGTTCATTGGGCAAAATACTAGATTAATTAATGATATAATGGAACAAACGGAACAACAAGACATCCCCGGTATACTTCTTTTATTGGACTTTAGGAAAGCCTTTGATACAATAGAATGGAACTTCATCCAGCAAACTCTGAATCTTTTCAACTTTGGACCCTTCTTAGAACAGTGGATTAAAACGCTCTATACAAATTCCGAAAGTGCAGTCTCACATAATGGATTCACAACAGATTTTTTTAAAGTATCAAGGAGAGTTAGACAAGGATGCCCTCTCTCCCCGTATCAATTTATTTAGGGGGTGGAAATATTGGCTTTTAAGATAAGGAAAGATAACAAAGTGGAGGGGATTAAACTATTCCAGACCGAGCACATGGTTATTCAATTCGCAGATGACACCACGCTATTTCTAAGAAACTTAAATTCGGTACAAAACTCGATAACACTGGTTGATCAATTCGGAAGTTTCTCTAGTCTTTCGCTAAATGTGGTGAAGACAAAAGCTATATGGTTAGGTGCCTGGAGATTTAACAACTTCAAGCCTTTTGTACTAAAGTGGTCAGCTGATCCAGTAAGAACTCTGGGAACTTTTATCTCTTACAATGAGAAAAAGCAATAAGAAAAACATAGACCGGAAAATTGAAAACATGAAAACAAAATTGGACATTTGGAGGGTCCGTGGCCTGTCCTTACTTGGTAAATGCCTCTTTGTGAAATTTTTGGGTATAACTCATCTGAAATACACGGCCTCGATGCTCACAATTCCTAATACCTATATTCCCGCGATTAAGAGTGCTGACTTCAATTTTATCTGGAATAACAAACGAGACAAAATGAAAAGGGATGTGATGTACCACGATTATTCCAGAGCTGGTTTACGTGCTCCGAACATCGAAATCCTCTTTAAGTCTTTAAATTTAGCATGGATCTCTATACTTTGACAGTCGATCCACACTCGCCTGAGACTTGAAAATCAATCCCGAATCACTTATTTGAAAAGTTTGGCGGTCTCAGCTTTCTCCTTCACTGTAATTATGACAATAAGCTCTTAGCGATTTCCGGCCTTCCACTCTTTTACAGGCAAATCCTGATGAACTTTCTTGAACTAAAGACCCTATACAGACCCAACTATTTGTCAGACCTGCTTTTGTTTAACTACAAAGACATTATGAAGTCGATGGTCCACTCAAATTGGTCAGAAAAGCCGTCTTATCGATGAAAAATTCTTATCATTTCAAACATTCCAACGAAAATCTAACATCAAATGTAAATTTTTTAATTATCTTCAAGTTCTATCAGCAATATCAAAATATCTACTTGAGAAGGCGAGAGCCGGACCTCCCATCGACATGCGTAACTTCTTAGGTAGCGCTTCCAACTATCTGACTTCATTGTCATAGATTCAACGAAAATGAATTGCAAAGATTACTACTAGCTCTACGTTATTGCGACCAAAATTGAACCCCCTGGTCAAAAGAAATGGCAAAAAGATCTTGGAAACTGGAAAATTGTAATTGGAACCTAGCCCTCACTCAGATAAGCATTTCATGCAAAGAAAATAAACTTAGAGAATTTAACAACAAATTACTCCATAGAATAATAGTCACCAGGAAAGAGCTTTATGCCTATGCATTTAAAACAGACAGTAAACGTCTTTCTTGCAATGAATCCGGCTCCATTATGCATTCCTTTGTGGAATATAAAGAGGCCAAGTCCTTCTTTGATAAAGTTATTTCCTGG